CCCCCCAATTTAGGCTGCATATCAATGTTAGTGCATCAGGGCTTTGGAGCCCCTGTGTAGTAGCTGTGAATATATCATCAAAATAATTGGAGAAAGGACACATTGCCATTGCTCTGGACCTCAGATTTTCATTTGCACAGTGTAGGTGTCAAACCAAGCTGTTAACTCAAGCCTTTCCATCAGTTATGAGCTGACCCTTTGGTCCATGGCTCAGCCTTGCTCCATCACCTGGCATCACTGTGGCCTCATCAGTGGAGGTCAGTGATAAGTTTCCCCCAACCTTCCTCAAACAGCCTGTGTTTGGTAAATGTCTGTGGTCTGGCTGGGGGAGGTGTGTGTGCATCTGAGAGCTGTAAACCTGGGCATTTGGGAAAGTTGGGAAGGATGGGGCAGGGCCGTTACTTCATCAAGTCAGATCAAGGCTAATGCCTTTGTCTCTCTGTTGCAGGACCAAACATCTGCACCACACGAGGCGTGAGCTCCTGCCAGCAATGTCTGGCTGTGAGTCCCACGTGTGCCTGGTGCTCAGATGAGGTAAGGAGCAGACACCTAACCTTACTTATCCCCCAGGCTTAGCTGCTTTTGTGCGGGAACAGCCCCTTGTCCCTTCTGCGCAAAACTAGGGTGAAGCCTTCCCATTGATGGATGCTGAAGTGGCTATTATGGGGGTGTTGCTGGGAATGCGATCCAGGGTCCCCCCGTGGCCCACGGCCCTGGCTGATTTGGTTGGTCCTCCTGGACCACTGTAGCCATCGCCACCCCTACCACACTTTGCTTCTTGCTGGGGTGGATACCCCCTGGGAGCAGGGCCTCAGGTCTCAAAGGGAGAGGTGGGAGAGGGTTATAGGTACAGCGGGGATGCTGGTTTATAGACACCCCAGAATTTTTAAAAGGCAAATAAAAAAGGATCTTGCTCTTGTGTGGGGGATGTTTCACCACAAGGTCTCTTTCCTTTTCCTTGCTGATGACTGGGCCCGTGGCTTTACCTCTCTGTCTCTCTGTCTCTGTCTCTGTCTCTGTCTCTCTCCCTTTTCTCCTTCCTTCCCCCTCGTAGGTGTCAGTGAGAGAAGGACCAATTTGACGAGGATGGGAGGGTGACAGGAAAGGCTTAGCTGTGTCTAGGCAGAGGGTTGTTGTGTCTGGGGCCCTAGGGAATGAGTGTGTCTGAGGGGAATGGCTGTGTTTGTGGCTGGGATGGGAATTTGGAGCTGGCAAGACCTGGTGGGGTAGGGTGGGGGGGCTGTGAGTTCGGCTGGAGAGTTTCCAGTGATTACAGAGTCTGAGGCTGAGTCACTGGCCTGGCCCCTGGTTACCTGAACTCCTGGCACGGCTGCAGGTCAGCCACCTGAGGTGCCCTCTGTCACAACAGCAAGTTCCTGCCCTCTGCAGCTTTCTGACTGCTCTAACCCAGGCCCTCATTTCCTTCCCTATCTGCTGAGTTTCCTAAAAAGGAAAC